GAGACTTAGCTCATTTTACATTATTTCTCAACCCTAAACACACTGGAGGCGATTTTTGAAGAATTTTTTCTTCCCAAATTCATTGGTAAGCAACTCTAACTCACTTTCTTTCAAATCCTCATTAATTTTCATGTGGTTTAACATCAAATTTAGGATTTCTATGGTAGAAATTAGGGATTTGGGTAGAAATTAGGAATTTTGTAAAATTGAGATTTAGACCTCAAATTGAGGTCCGATTTCGAAATAAATCACATAACCGACTTAGGGGTAAATGAGTAATTGGATTTTGGTCCGAATCTCGGGTTTTGATCAAGCGGGCCCGGGGTTGACTTTTGTTGACTTTTTTCAATATCATTAAGATCGACACTTTTTTACTCATGGGTAGTTTCTAAGCTTATTTTGAATTATCCGAACTATATATGGCTATATTTGATTGATTTGGAGGCTAATTCTATAGAAAAGTCGTGGTTGAGCATTGATTTGATTGCAGAAGAGTTAAGTGTCGTGGTTAACTTTTACCTGAGGGAATTAGGACCTGTTGGTCTATATGCTACGTGCATTATGTGTAGGGATGGTATATATGTAAGGTGATGAGTAGTTATGTGTTATCATTGGGTTTAAGTATGCGGGTGAAAATTATTTTATTGTACTATGTTGTTCTATTGATTATGCTTTCTATTCCTTAGCTAGATTATTATTTCTTTAATTGTTCGCCTTCATATTTATTAGTTATTTTGGAGTTGTTGAGATATTGAAAGTCTATTTTGCCTATCATGACACTATAATTGAAGTGAAATTTTCTCCCTACCTTGCATTGCTATTGTGGATTAATGTTATTGCTTGGGGAGGAAGAGTAAAAAGCACAAAGGGTGTTGTCATGCCTTATTTGCATATTATTATCATTGATTGAGAGATTGTGAGGATTAAAGCACGAAGAGTGATGTCGTGCACTTGATTGCTTAGTATCATTTATCATTTCATGTGAGAAAGAGAGTAAAATCATGAAGGGTGATGCCGTGCCATTTCATTTATCTTATCATTATTATATGGTGAGGATGAGAGTAAAAGCACGAAGGGTAATGGCTACATTTATGATATTACACGGTGATGGCGAGAGTAAAAGTACGAAGGGTAATGGCTACATTTCATTTCTTTGTTTGATGTCAGGATTGATGATTTAATCAGTTGCATTGTAGTTTATTTTGTAAAAGGGCTACTTGGTGATTTTGTACTTGACATTCTTCTCGTGCTTTTCTTTCTACATGTTCCCTCCCTGTTATTATGTTAAATGCCCTATTTGTTGTTTCTGTTGCCTTTTGTGTATATCTGCATAGGATATTAGTAGGTGTCTTGTCATAGCTTCGTCACTATCTCGTCAAGGTTAGACTCGATACTTATAGAGTACATTAGGTCAGTTGTACTCATGCCATATTTTCGCATTTCTTGTGCAAATACTAGTGTTGGTCCTCAGAGACTTGAGGTAGAGCTGCTGGCGTTCGCATTCCCTAAAGTCCCCCTCTATTTCTGTCATTATTGTTTATTTCATTTCAAACAGTTGTATTTTGTTCAAATCATACTTGTAGTATTCTAGTTGTTCATGTACTGGTGACTCCAAATTTCTTGAATTAGACTAGACTGTGTTATATTATGGTTTTATCTTATGTATTGTAGCTTTATTAATCGTTAATAATTGTTATTACTCTATTTTAAATTATTAAAATGGTTATCTAATGTTTGCTTGCCTAGCAAGTAGATGTTAGGCGCCATTACGACTCCGACGTTGGGAATCTGGGTCCTGATAGAAGCAGGGTATTTTGATAGGGAAATCAAATCGACCTAACCATTGTCCTTCCGAAGCAGCTTCACGTGATTGTACCTCGCAAGACAAAAGAAGTAAAATTGTTCGTGAAATACCATAAAGTAAAAATAAATTAAATATTACATATATTTTTGAAATAATTTTCATTAAATTATGTTTTTGGAAAATTGTTTTTTGAAAAAAGTTTTATTAAAAGATTTTTGGAAAATAGTTTAAAAGTATTATGAGAGAGGTCGACGGATAAGAAGATTTGTCCATCAGCCATGGAAATTACATTAGTAGGAATATAAGCCGAAACATCTCCCGATTGGGTTGAGGCTCAGATATTTGATTTCCGTCTAGACATGAGAACGGGAACCGCCTTGGTTGCGACTACGGTAGCTAGCCGTGTCTCTGTCCAAAGGTTATTGGTTCGTCACGTTCTCGTCTTTTCCTTTTCTGATATTTATCATCATCGCCTCGTTATTTTGGGACCGGTCCGAAAGGTCAATAGGCGGGTCGTGTCTCAATAATCTAAAGAAATTATTTTCATAGGCTTTCAAGACAGTATCCGTTCCAAACAAATGCACCTACTCAAAATCAGTAACATTCTTTAGTAAAACAATGTTACAGGTTCAAAGATGTATATTTTTCTTTGGCAAGATTTTGTCCGAAAATAATAGTATCATAGCAAATATCCCAATATAATGCTAACAGATCCGTAACCCATGAATCCGAATACAATGGAACAAAACAAGCATTTTTTAATTGGCACAATCAAGAAGGATGCCGGAACAGTAACAAAATGAGACACACACTGGACGAAATTTCCGGCCTGATTTGCAGCGTATCTGCTCAAAAATAGGAACCAGCAAAATGTTTTAGTTATCAACATATAAACAAGGGAGATGAAAAATCAAAGTAACAGTAACCACACGGAAATAGAAGATAATTGGAGGAGCCAAAGCAAACACAAAATGTCGCCGACAATTGAGAAATCTCCAGCCAACAATACAGTACTACTTTGACGGCTACACCGGAGCAATATTAAAAGCACAATGGTCGCCAGAAATGTCGAGATTTAATTCACGACATGCCTAACATAGCCGTTAGGCAAGTCAATGGTGAACTATCAAATTAATTGTTCATTTTATTATTTTTGAAATCACAAAATTTATTAAATAAAAAAATTTGTGCATTTAAAATCATGGGTACATACACAATTAGTAAGATATAAAAACAAAAGGTGACAATGTTATGCAATTTCGTAACATCAACAAGAATATCCCAAAACTCAGTTTCACAAGTGCATGAGCGCCTACTAAAGAGCGCCATAATAACACATCATCTGTCTATAATATAAAATAAACATGATAGAGTATATAAATAAGATGGAGACTCTTTGGGCTACGGTACGTAGCATGGAAAGTAATTCACCATAAGGACCCCTCAACTGTTGCGCCTACGCGCCAAGGTGACCATCAAATGAACCTGTCAGATCCTGCACATATATTGCAGAAGCGTAGCATGAGTACGTAAATCAACACGTACCTAGTAAGTATCTAGCCTAACCTCGGAGAAATAGTGACGAGGGATCGACATCGACACTTAATAGTGGTCCAATAAACCAGTATGATAAATTATAAATATATATGAAGCACAACAGTAATAATGAGGTAAAAACGATAATTATCATAATATTCCAACATTTCTTTTGAATATTGTCACACCTCTTTTTTACCACCAAAAGGGGATATAAGGGAGTTTTTTCAATTAAAGTGACATTATTCGAAATGAGATTATTTTTTATTTATTTCAGAGTCGCCACTTGGAATAGTTTATTTAGTGTCCCAAGTCACCGATTTATTTTAAATCCCAAATCGAGGAGAATTTAACTTTATTTAAAAGTCTACGAAATCAGAAATTCTAAGTAAGGAATTCTATTAACCCGGGAGAAGGTGTTAGGCATTTCCGGATTTCGTGGTTCGAGCACAATCGCTTAACTATTAATATTGGTCGAATTATCTGATTTACTACATGTTTTGAATCTAGTGTGCATTTTTAACTTTATAATAACTATTAATTAATTTAACCGCTTTTTTAGAATTTATGGAATTATTTCTTGAACAAGTTACGATTGTCGTACACTTGTTTATTTAATACACACGGTGAATCGTGTCACGAGAACCGTGCCCACGATCTACAACATGTTTAATTTATTAACGTTATTAGAAGTTGTGGCCGGGTCACATAAATGTACCACCGAATTTGAAAATTATGTATCACAATTACGTCACGGGAACCGTACCCGTAGCTATGATAATTTTATTATAAACGCTCTTAAAGCAAACTACGAATGTTCAAAGTGTTTTCTATAATAGTTATGAATGTTCCAAGTATTTTTCACACTAGTCTTAGTATTAATGTGAGGGTCATAGATTATGGGATTCATTTGTGAATGGCACGCCTCCATTTATTTCAAAAGATTATACTCAACTAAAGCGAACTACAGATATTTATATTTAAACTTAATTTAAAATTAGGTATCACAACTATGCCACGGAAATCGTACCCGTAGTTGCGATGATTTAGTTACGTGCCTAAAGCAAACTACGGGTGTTCATATGATCATTTTTTTTTATAAGGTTTGCAGTCAAGTGAATGTCAAAGAATGGGGTCGGGTAAAGTGTGAATTCTGTTAATGCGGGCACATGATCTAAATGTGTTTTCCCTTGGAGCCAATAATATCACTACAAGTTAATGAGCCAAACATTAACAAATCAATGAACCAACTTTGACAAATCAGGCCACGGTTGATTGGATCCAACATTGTGTAAAGACAACTAGTAATTACTTAACATAATTTTGACAAAATGTTAAACTTAAAAATCATTTGTATTGTATAAAAGACTAGAAAGAGTTCAAACACCACATTGTAATCTCACAATCCTTGCCAAATATAGATGTGCACAAATCAACGATTTTCAAAACCTCTATACTAGCTATTTAAGTCACATTTCAGAACAGATAACATATCCTAAACTGGATCATCTCAAGTTAATATGTACTGGTCCTAGTATGCTTAAATGAAATGGGCCCAGTTTCAAATTCTGAATCAAGAAATATTTGGGCTGCTGTAAAGAAAAAAAACTGAAACAACTATAATTTAAACTAAATATGAATACATTTTATACACTACAAATAATGAATAGCTTCATTGCATTTTTACAAATAATTACAGGCCTTGAACTAAATTAAGAAAAGTAATCTGTATAGGCTGAAATCGAATTAATTTTGAATCTGCCTAGTGATCAACTTAGCAATAATTTTTTGCCATGTTCTTGAAGTTGCCTATCATTCACAAACGGCTAATCAATCAGTGGCTAGATTTGTAAATCTGTACCTCATGCCAAGCACTTACAAACTCCTGCATTACCAAATACCAATAATACCCAAGACAAAGTGATTTCCAAATGGGGAAGGCTTTACACACAAGAGAATGCTGCCAAAACTTCTAAATCTTAAACATTTAGGGAATTTTCAGAACTTCAAATGTATTTTAACACTCCAAGGCTAAAAGAAAGAACTGATTTTAAAGCATTGTTTCCTCCTCCATTAAGGTTTGAAACATTCAACACATCTGATGCTTTAAATCAAACTGGAAATATCAATGTTACTTCACCTTAAGTGCTCAAACTAATGCAACCAAAAATCCATGATTAACACAACATTAACAAACAAGCTCATAGTTATATTACTGTTATATGCTGAAATATCAGACTCGGTTTTGTTAGAAAGTAGACATGGTAGAAAATATTCAAACAACCCATATATTACCAGATTAACGGGTAGAACATTTAACAAGTATGTAATCAATCCAAAGTTGCAAATCTGATGATATTTATGGCATTCCAAAAACTATTACATTTGATGAGAATGAAATCAATACCTTAACAGTCACAGGTACAACAGATAGTAAGAAATATGCCTCTGACTTTGGAGAAAAGAAAATAGAAAATCAGCTTCCACCAGTAATTAGAGTAGAAATCAGAGTATTGGGGACCAAATAAAAGTCATAAAAACCATAGGAAATAGAGCTCAACAACCCAGAAAACAGCAGTAACAAAACACACTAACAACAAAGAACAGCTCTAGATTCAAACTCCATTTTTAAGGTATCTTTGGGATTCTATGTGTGTTTTCTATTATAAATGCCAGAAAAGAAGGATGCATGAGTTTTCTGTGTATTCAGAGGACCCTTTAGAGTGAATATATTGATCAAAATCTGTCCAAGAATCAGTAAAGTTCTTTTTCTTTTATAGAGTGTATAAAACAGCATCAAAAAGGCATATTCTGCCCTAAATTCCTAAAATGTCAGATAGTACAACATCTTTTAACAGTTGTCCGTCCTTTTTCCCACCCAATTTCAGCATTTTCATGCTAAGAATGGGGACAGCTGTCCCATACTAGAACATTCTGATATTTTCCCATTTAAAACTCTCAATTTTACCCTTCTAAATTCTGCTTATTGCAATTTTAATCTATTTGACCTAAATTCTGATCATTTGATTGTCCATTAACCCCTTCGAGAACCTCCTAAAACTATCCAGGCCATTCTATCCTTGGATTCCCTGAATTGATTTCTAATTACCCCTTTAAAGTTTTCAATATTACCCTTTCAAACCCCTTCAATTCCAATTGGCATTCAAACCTCCCAACTCAAACAATTAAGGCCAAATTAGATATAGACCAAAACAAAACAAATTGTCAATTAACACTTAATTAAAATCTGAATGGACTAAAACTGATCTAATTCACCTAACAAATTGTAGTTGACAAATGAACATTATAATTAGGCTAAACATATTATCATTAACATAAACTAATCTACATTATGTAAAAAAACAAAATGATGATTGGCCAGAAAAATAAAATAAAGAAAAAGAAATGTTAAACCAAATTGACAAGGGAAGGAAAATGAACTGAAGGAATACCTGAGGATGACAAACTATTAATTTCAAGCGATCAGATCCGGGGTCGATATCTTCACACGAGCAACTGACTCTTGCTCAGAGAAACAGGTATAGTGGTTGCATGTTACGATAATAACCCTAGCTTGGCCGGAGAATGTCGTCACAAGACTATGGAATTCCGGTGGATGGTAAGGTGACTGACCGAATTCCGGCGGCTTGAAAAGAACCAACACCAACGTTGATCTATTTCTCTTGCCAAGGGAACTAGCTTTACATAAATGAGTCGGCTTGAACAAACAATATCGAAGAAAAAGAAGAAAGGAGGCAGAATACTGTTTTTTGAGAATTTTAGATCTGAAAATCGGAGCAACCTATAAAGATTTGATAGATGATGTTAGGGGTCTTGGAAAGAGGAGGGTACGTGGACTATCTGGCGAAGATTTGGGCTCATTTGGAGGTATCTAGGGCAGTGGTTTAGGGCGGCGGCGCCGGAAGACAATTTCCGACGGCTAGGGTTCTTTGGAGACGTAGAAGATGAGAGACTGAAGGAGTTTAGGGGTTTGGGGGTATGTCTCGTTCAGACACTTTTAAAGGGGGAGGGAAAGGTGATTGTCGGGTGTTAATTTGGAGTAGTTTGGAGAAGCTCCGCCGCCATAAGGCGATTTCCGGGCGGCGGAGAGAGGCGGAGCCGGCGAGGGAATCCTAGGGCGGCTAAGGTTTCTTTTGAGAGTATATAGAGATAGAATGAGAGAGGGTCGATGGGGGGTCTCTAGTTTAGGACAGTTATATGTAAAAATGGGATTAAGTTTCGAGCTGTTGGATCAAAAGAATCCAACGGCTATGATGAAAGAACGTAAAAACGAGGTCGTTTTGGGGCTAGGGCACTGGACCGGGTATGCTGGTCTTTGGGCTTGGGTTTGGATGGATTTGGGTACAAAATTTGGCCTTATTTCAAGACCAAATTAAACCTTTTCTAGTTTCTTTTTCTCTTTATTTTCTTTTTCCTTTCTTTAATTAATTAAAATCCTAAATTAATCTAATTTATAAAATTAAACTAATTATATATTTATAATATTTACAAAAATTAGTTAATCCTAAATTAATGAAGAGGAAATTACCAATCTAAAATTGAAAGCTAAAAAGGTAAAAATGAGCACAATTTTGTGATTTTTTCATTTTGATAAAGTAATTAATTAATTAATTAATCCTAAAATATGAACACAAAGTCTAATAAATAATTCATGATGTTTTTGACATTTTTGGGGCATTTTCATGATTTTAATAAAAATTAAACATGCACAAAAATGCAAACAATTAATAAAATTCTACAAAAAACCTATAAAATTGCAAACAATTGGGAAAAAATCTATTCCTTTAATTTTGTAGGAGTATTTTGAATAGGGCAAAAATCACATGCTCACAGCTGCCCCTCTTTTCTCGGAAACACGAAGAGTTTTCGGGCAAAGATAAGATGAGCAACTACGAGCGATTTTTGCCCGTTTGAAACTCCATAGGAAGCATTTTATTTTTGGAAAAAGTCTGACCGAACCTTACTTCGAAGGTTGCCTACATATCCTTGGCTATGAAGGATTCAGGTCAATGTAGTTCAGGAAGTTTTGGTAGCTGGGACTACCGAGAAACTGTGATTTCACTACTGTTGCGTCTGTTTCTGCTTGCTGAGCTCCTTATTACACCAAAGTGAAAAATTAAAAGACAAAACTAGCTAAGCGTATCAACTACGAGTTACAAGATTCCTATCTATAAACCTGCTAAAACTGGATCTTGAGTCTTGGGCTGGTTCTTTCTACAGACTCTGATCTGAATCTTGATGCTCGTTAGCTGCAAACCGCTGGTTCATTCTTCTTCAGCTTTTCGGATCAAGGCGGGACATGCAAAGCTTGTGACTTCAATCATATCTTGAGCAGTCCGTATCTTTTCTCCGCTTCTACACTTAAAGTTCAACTTCTTTTCTTGTTTTTATCTTCTTTTATTCGGATTGAGACTTCTTTTTTTGGTCATCTCAAACCTCGTGCCTCATGGTAAAACCTGTTTAGACACCATAATGAACAAACGAACGAAATTTTTCTTACCCAGTTTTCACTAGGAAAATTTTGTGAGTTATTGTAACAAAATAAACTACTTCTTTATTGAAAACAATAAAATCAGGATTGTGTATCCTTGAAAAAAAAGATTATGGAGTGAAGACCCTATATCTAAAATGAAATCATATGGGGATCGGAGGCCGTCAGTTAGAAAAATTACCAGGTTATGCTGGCATCATCTAGGGAGGGAGCCCTATACTGGAAAAGACTACTAGGTTATGCTGGCAGAGTCATCGGGTTATGTCGGGGAAGTCCTTGGGTTATGCCGGAAAAGTCATCGGGTTATGCCAGAAAGGTCCTCAGGTTATGCCGGGAAAGTCATCGGGTTATGCTGGTAAAGGTCCTCGGGTTATGCCGGAAAAGTCATCGGGTGTCGAAAAGGGTCTTCGGTTATGCCGGGAAAGTCATCGGGTTATTCCGAAAAAGGTCCTCAGGGAAAGTCATCGGGTTATGCCGAAAAATGTCCTCGGGTTATGCCGTAAAAGTCATCGGGTGTCGGAAAGGGTCCTCGAGTTATGCCGGGAATGTCATCGGGTTATGCCGGAAAATGTCATCGGGTTATGCCAGGAAAGTTATCGGGTTATGCCAAAAAAGGTCCTCGGGTTATGCCGGAAAAGTCATCGGGTATGCTAGAAAAGGTCCTTGGGTTATGCCGAAAAATGTCCTCGGGTTATGCCGGAAAAGTCATCGGGTATGCTAGAAAAGGTCCTTGGGTTATGCCGAAAAAGTCATCAGGTTATGCCGGAAAAGGTCCTCGGGTTATACCGGGAAAGTCATCGGGTTATGCCAAAAAAGGTCCTCGGGTTATGCCGGAAAAGTCATCGGGTTATGCCAGAAAAGGTCCTCGATTATACTGGGAAAGTCATCAAGTTATTTCGGAAAAGGTCCTCGGGTTATGCCGGGAAAGTCATCGGGTTATGCCGGAAAGGTCTTTGGGTTATGCCGGGGAAGTCATCGGGTTATGCTGGAAAAGGTCCTCGGGTTATGCCGGAAAAGTCATCGGGTTATGCTGGAAAAGGTCCTCAGGTTATGTTGGGAAAGTCATCGGGTATGCCCGAAAGGTCCTCGGGTTATGCTGGGATAGTCATCGGCCTATGCCCGAAAGGTCCTCGGGTTATGCCGGGAAAGTCATCGGGTTAAGCCCGAAAGGTCCTCGGGTTATGCCGGAAAAGTCATCGGGTTATGCTAGAAAGGTCCTTGGGTTATGCCGGGAATGTCATCGGGTTATGCCGGAAATATCTAGGGGGTGAGACTCTATGTTGGAAAGATTACCAGGTTATGCTAGCATCGACTAGGGAATGGGACCCTATGTTGGGAAAAACATAGCTAGAGATTGGAGACCCTATGCTACCATGATTTTGAACTTTTCTTCTTCTTTCTTTTTATTTCACTCTAGAATTTTATTTAGGAGAATGAATGAAGAGTTTGAAAGGGACTTCTCTTTTTTTTTATCTAACTTTTGCTGCAGAACCATTTTGGTTTCTGCGTACCTTGCTTTTATTGCACCTGCTTCTTGCGAGGTTGTTTTGGATTGCACCTATTTTCCTGTTTTCCAATGAAAGAATGATTTGTCAGTTTGAAACGGTGGTTGGTTTTGTGGCCTTGCTTATTTCAATCACTTTATCTGGGCCCAACTCTTTCAGTAAAATCTCCATTGTTTGCTGGCTCTCTGGAAATTAGTTTCGTTTCTAAAACCTGGGAATCTTGACTTTTCCTAAATTCCACATGATGATTGACCCGTATGGGGCTTGGCTTTTTCCATCTTATTTTGCCTTTATGGTCACCTGACTTTGATTTCCTTTATTTTCAAGAGTTTTTGACTCTGGAGTATCGGCCATCATGGCCAGTCGAGGTCGACTTGATGCACCTACTGAGGTTGGGTGCTTTTCTTGAATTTTAGCTTTTGTCAACAAAAACCCTGTAAAACCAATCTTGCCATCTCTTCTTTGTATTAGTTTCGGGGAGGAATTAGACCAAAAGGGATTCAAAGAAAAGTAAACAACGGACAAGATAATGAATTTAAACGAGAAGTGTCCATTTCGAATAAAGGAAAGAAGGACTTATATGGAGTGCATGTAGACTTCAATAGACATGACATGCTTCTTGGACTGGATGCCCGATCTGTGCAAACCATCCAACTCTCATAAAACCATCATAACTCATACCTCAAAACCGAGAAACCTTGCCAGGACTCTATCGGTGTCGATGGTTGTAAGGGATT